TGCACCTAACCACCATGTTGCTCCAGAAATTGTCTGCATATATTTTGTCCGCAAAATTAAAAAGATATTTACATGTCTTTCAGCCGTCTGACCCTCCATGTGTCCGCACATCGTTTATATTTCATGGGGTTATCTGCGTGTTGCTGCTCCCCTCAGCCCTTTCATCGGCGCGTGAGTGCGGCCCGCAGAGCACAGTCACTCGTGTGTGTGTGGGGACTGAGAGAAGCACGCAGACATGACGGGGAGTCGCGTCCCTCCATCGGGAGAGTGAGCGCAGCAAAAAAAAGAAAAATCATCGGAGGGGAGAGAAACGCTCACGAGGCCGACACCGAAGGGTGCGCCAGCGCGAGAAATAAAAATACGGTGAGAAAGTCAAGGAGAGCAAGCAAAAAAAAAACACGGCGGCAGGGTGTGGCTGTGTGTGTGTGGCGCTGCGGGTGTCTGCCCGCCCTGGCCGCAAAAAAGAAAACAAAACAAGAGGGAAAGAAATGTGTGCTCCGCCCCACAGGCCCTCGTCGCACGCCCACACGTCACGGCTCCCTCAGCGCGCCGTTCGTCGCGGCCCCTCCTCATGCGTGCAGCAGGCGAGGCGCACAGGGCCGTCGTCATGAGCGTGTCGGTGGGTGTGCGAGTGGAGCAGTTGGGCGGGAAACACACGGCACCCCTCACAGGAAGAGTGCAGCATAAAACAATTAAAAGAGGGAAGAGTAGAAAAGAAAAAAAACGTCCATCGTGGCTGCCCCCAAAGACAAAAAAGAGGGATGGCGGATAATAGAAAAAACGGAAATAAAACATTTTTTTAAAAAAGGCAAACAAAAATAATTAAAAAACAAACATAAAAAAACATGAGAAATTATACTCCGAACAAAAAAGAAAAACAATTAAAAGCCAAAAAAAAAAAAAAAAACGCCCATGATGGTTGCCCTAAAGCAGAAAAGGAAAAATGGAAAACATTAAAAGAAAAAATTAAAAGAAAACAAAAACAAATTATTCTCCGTGTAGTAAAATTTATTCCTAGCGGTGTGTGTGTGTGTCGGTGCAGGGAAGGGCACAAGTGCTCCACACTGAGGCCGCACACTCCTCACGCAGCCACAAACCCCCACAGTCCCAGCAAAAGAAGCAGCGACAGCAGTCCGCTCCCAGCAGGCGCATTGGCTCGCACACCCTCAATACGAGGGATATGACTCCTTTCCGTTCCACCCTCCACCTGTGATCCCGGGTCTCTCTTCGGAACGGGGATCCTGTCCTTGATTGCACGCATCTCAGTGGAATTCAGTGGGCGGTTGTACAGAAAGACGTTCTTCACCGTCACAGGAGAGTGTTGGCCGGCGGCCGTTGGACTGGACTCCTGAACGCACGCACCAAAGCAGAAGTGCACAAGCCCAAGTGACTTCTCATCTGTTAGCAGCACTTCCCCTTCCCCCAGCGACCGACCATCAATGTGCACAGAGGCCTTTTTGCCTTGGAGCATGAGTGCCACTTGGTATTCTTTCTTCGGCTCCCAAGTGCTGCTCCTTGTTGTTTTGTCTTTGAACACCGTCTCTATCTTCTTATCCGCGGTATACAAGATTCCCATGGTATGATTGGACTCAGTGTCCGCCAAAGTCGCAGTCAGTAGAGGAGTTTTCCCACTCGGAACATTTTCGATGCTCACCGTCGCCACAACTGTGAAGTCGTGGCTCAAAAACACATGCCGCAAATTATCATCCCGAGTGTTCACAGGCCATAGTACCCCGGAGTTAGACTCCGTCAGCTGCATCCCCTCTTTGACCTTCACCGCATTCCTCACCGTTGCATTCAGGCAAAGGTACTCGTCGTTCCACCTCCCATCACTGGCCGCACCGGACAAAACTGCCACCAGCCCCGCCGTGGGTATAGAAAAGCTGGAGAAGAAAATGTCCTTTTGCGACCAAGTACTGAGGACGGAGTTGATTGTACTCAGTTCCTCCGTCAGGCGGGAAAGTGAAATGACACTGCCTTCACCATTGCCCCTCCGTTGTAAAAGATGCAGATTGCCACCCGAGTACAGCAGGCTGCTGGCAAGCTCCTCCCTCAGAGCAGTTTCCACGGCAACCGGTCCAACAGAAAAAGAGCGGTTGTTATCCGTGACCCAAAGACAGAGCACAGTGGCCTTATTCTCCCCCGAAACGTACCCTCTCTGAGTGTACAACATGACCTTCCTTCCCTCAATGGTCGCGGTGATGAAGGCTTCCACGTGCAAGCTCAGATACCAAAAGAATGATTGTGATTTGACCCACACGCCTGGAATCGTCCCGATGGCCTCCGTCCACGCTGTCCCCATGTCTCGCGACTCGTACACCCTCTGTTCATCCTCGCAGTCAACAATCATGAGAAGTGATCCCTCCCACTCGGTGATGCGGGGATTAAGGCAGTTCGCAGGTGAAAAGCCCTTCGAGAGCGCCCAGGTACTGCCGTTGTCCGTCGAGTAAATGATCATGGAGTAAATGTCACTATTTCCGCTCTTCGCCATCAGTGGAAAGACAAGCGTGCCATCCTCCATCAGAACACCTGAGCCACCAGCGGCAAGAAACTCCTTCAATTTACCTTCGTGAGCAGCTATAGTACTCTCGTTTAACAGAGACCTGATTTGGTCCCATTCGATACTTCCTCTCGGCTCGCTGCTCGTAGGCTCCCTCACATCACCCACAACCAGTTTCAGACCCAGGTTGTCCCATTTCTTCTTCCCATCATTTTGTTTGAGCTCAGCAAGGCTTCCCGCAAGAAGAAACACCTTATTGCCCTTCGTGGTGGTTGTGGGGCGGTAAAAAACATCCACACGATTATCCGTTCCATCCGTTGTACCAAGCACAGTGTGTGCCTTCCATGTATCTTCCTTGACCTTCCCAACAAGAGTGGACCGATCCCACGAGGAGTCAATGTACTCCGCAACAATATCAGAAGAAATGGGCTCAATTATTTTACCACCATCAACGACATATTCGGCATACATGAGACCTTCGGCAAAAGCAGCAATTACTCCACCAGCACTGACGAGAGAGGGTGAAGCAAATGCATCCCTCTTCGTCTCTTGAGACGTTCCGCCTTTCGCTACAACCAGCGTCTGATTCGGAAAAAATAGATCGACCCACTGCAGCTTCTGACCATCCCCTGACTTGCTCTCCACAGCATTCGAAGCCCCACCACTGCCGCAGCACATCATAACGACGAGGAGAAGCAGCATCGCAGAATTAAACAAATGCCGGGACATGTTGGGCCTCTGCGGCTCACTCTCTCCTCCTTCCCTCCTCCTTCCGCTGGATCCGGTCACGCGGCGACGGTTGTGTGTGCGGGGTGCCTTTGCAGCAGCAACACGTGTGAGCATACAAATATGTGTGTGTGGGCGGTGTGTGTGCTGTTGTTGGTCCTTTCAGAGCCTTCGAATTTCACGGTAGCGTTTAGCGTTTGGTTGCTTTCTTTCCTAGCGTGTCTGTGTGTGTTTGTGGAATAAATGGGAAAAGTCACAGGGAACAGAAAAGACAAGTTGTAACGAAAAACACTGCGCACCGTCAGCAGCAGCGGGCCACGTCCCCACAACAACTCACTCCCACAGAAAGGCGAGGAAGCGCGTGCGTGTGCGTGCCAAGAACACAGCGACCATCATCGCCAAAGGAGGCCATCGTGGCACCGTCCGTCACGCGTCAACGCACCGTGCGACGCACGCACCCAGCAGAAAAAAACAGGGGGAAAAGAAAAATGACCCCAAGAGCAGGCAACACCTCCACGCACGGCAGGCATCGTGCAGCCGCATCAACCGACCCCAGCGGAATGCGGAAGGCGTCCCGCACACATCCAGCCAATGACACCGTAATTCCCACCGCAGGCAGACACGCAGCGGCCTCGCCACGTCAGCACGGAGACCACGGGACGCACAGTCACAGTCGTCCCGCCGCCAAGAGCCTCCTGCAGAGCACCATACAAATACTTTTGTTTGTGTGTATTTTCTGGAGGAGCAGAAGGGTAGAGGAGCAGAAGGGAAGAGGAGCACAGGGAGACGCATCAACAGGGCAGGAGGCACAGCTAGATGGCAGCGATACATGCGGCACGGCCCCAACCTCAACAATCACGCACGGTGGCGGCGCAATCACATCCAAAAATGACAAAAAAAAAACACGGCGGCAGGGTGTGGCTGTGTGTGTGGCGCTGCGGGTGTCTGCCCGCCCTGGCCGCAATAAAAACAAAACAAAACAAGAGGGAAAGAAATGTGTGCTCCGCCCCACAGGCCCTCCTCGCACGCCCACACGTCACGGCTCCCTCAGCGCGCCGTTCGTCGCGGCCCCTCCTCATGCGTGCAGCAGGCGAGGCGCACAGGGCCGTCGTCATGAGCGTGTCGGTGGGTGTGCGAGTGGAGCGGTTGGGCGGGAAACACACGGCACCCCTCACAGGAAGAGTGCAGCATAAAACAATTGAAAAGAGGGAAGAGTAAAAAAGAAAAAAAAACCGCCCATAGTGACTGCCCCCAAAGACAAAAAAGAGGGAATGGGGAAATGAGAGAAAAAAAACAATAAAAACATTAAAACAAGAAAAAAAAATTTTGGTTCGGCAGGACTTTCATGTGCCATGCGCACAAGACGATCGGGGGCGTATACATATTCCCTGCACAAACAAAAAAGGAAACAAAAAAAAAAGGTTGTACTCTCCCACCAGCCCACACAACATCCCTTATATTCCATGCGGCGTCCGGCCTGCTCCTCCACTCCTCGTTTTGTGCAGTCCGCCGGAAGCGCAGCAGTGACGCCGGCACCGCGAGTGGGCAAAAAAAGGCAAACAAAAGTCGGAAGCACGTCATTCATAACGGATTGTAGCAAACGGCCATAAGAAAAAAAAAAAAAAACTGAGTATTCGAAAAAACACCAAGAAATCTGAAAAAGCGGGGAAACATTTTTTAAAAAAGAAAGAAAAACATTGAAGAAAAACATCAAAAACCGCAAGAAAAGCGGCACGTATTCTCCTTCTGGAGTCGCAATTCAACACTCGTTGCCTCACAAGACTGCGACAGCTCCACACAGTCCCAGAAGAAGAAGCATCGACACCCGAGACACGCACACACGCGCAGTGCTGTCGGCATTCCAATCACGCAGTATCAATTTCGCGTCGTTGAGCAGGGCGAGGCGGTCCTCTTGGCTCGCGCCGCTCCCGGATTCGGAGTGGTTATTTTCTGGAACAGGAGCCTCGCTTTGTTTGGGCAGCAATCCCTCACTTCCAGCCAGAGGCGCCATGCTTTCTTGTACTGGCTGCGCATCCCCATCTCCAGTGGTCTCCCTTGACTGCAGGGTTGCTGGGTTTGCTCCCTCCTCCGGCGCGGATTGTTCTTCCTCCCCCATCGAGCTTTCCACTTCCGTAGTGAAGAAATCCTCGCTGTGCGTTGTCCCAAATTCACCTGCTCCTGCAACAGCGGCCGTAGGCGAATTGTTGTTTTCGCCAGAGGCGGCTGGTGCTGCTTCCCTCTCACTGCCTGTTGGAGTGTTGGTGTTGTTTCCCGCTCGGTGGTCGTGTTGCGCCACGGCAGCCTCGGCGTCTCCCTGTGGCAATGGCTTCGACTGAAGAGCAGCTGAGTCAGCATCCTGCGATTCGGTGCCACGGCCGGTCTCAATACTCTCTGCAATAGGGACGGGCGCCTCTGGTGAACTTTGTTTCAAGAATTCCGGGCGTACCGTCCTGCTCCACACCCTCTCCTCGCCGTCCCACCGAACCGCGGGAAGGACACTGCCGCCGGTGGCGGATATCGTGCAAACCTCCGCGTAGTTAGGGCAAATGACGTTTTCCTTATCGTAGGGTGGTGTGTCCCACGTAATCGTCGCCCCGTCCGTGAATGGGACCCAACTGATGCCGCGCTTTTCAGTCACTTTCAGATGCACTTGCATGCCAAGACACTTCAGTTCCGCATGCATGGCAGCACTCAGATACGTATACCCCGGGTACCTTGCATCTGTCGTGTTGGTGGGAAGCGTGTCCAGACACCACGAAGAGGGCATATCACCAGGCCTCGCAGACAAATATTTTCCCTCCTCAAAAACAGCCTCAAGGTCCCTCACGTCCATCGCGGGATCAATGATGGGGCAACTGTCCATTGAGTGCTGTTTTGAGAATTCAATGATACTCCGCTGACACCGACCACTGGAATACCGATCCGACGCGCAGCGTTTGACACCATCGTTTATGTTGCAGAACATGTGGGAATATTTACTCAGGTTCAGTTCGGAGCACCTCTTCTGCAGCAGCTCACAGCCCGACTTCTTGCCCCAACCCATCGGCTCCGCCATCCTCCAGTTCACCTTGAAGTAGCCCAGGTCAGCAAATGCAGCCAGCGTCAGCTCCGTGTAGTAGCCGGCACCCCCAATCGGTGCCATCAACTCATCCTTCGCGTGGCGCTGTGACCAGTGCGACTCCAGCGTACTCCCGTCCCCATTTTGATCTTGTAGCTCCATGCCATAAATGTCATCGCAGTCGTAGTGCTCCCTCGCAGCCATCGCGGCATTCGTCGAGTTCACCACCACCGACAGCGCCCTGCCACGCACACCGGTAACATTCCTCACCATGCTGCGGCTGGCCATATGCGGATGGGCGAACCCGAGAGCATGGGCCACCAGGTGCGCGGCGATGCGGGTGGCGAGGCGTCCGTGAAATAAAACGGCCGGGGCAATGTTCATGACGCCAACGACTGGACGGCCATCCTCCAGCGTGGCGCACGGCAGTGCCCACACACCACCCGGCGCCGCAGCCACGTACAGCACCATGTCAGAATTGGCAACACCAGCGGAACGATGCTCGTCAGGCACAGTGAACCGACTGCAAACAGTGCCCGCGGCAAATTGGGGCACAACCAACGGACCCTCCAGTGGCTGGACGAGCAGACGATCCGCATGCAGTTTGACAGCTGCAGGAACGACATTGTCGATGAGGATTTTCCTCTTATTAAAGGAAAGAGCATTGCCCTCACACTCGTAATAGTCTGTCAATAAATTTTTCACATAAGAATATTTTGTGGTGCAATACATACTGGTATTATACAGGTCCCTTGTCGACACATTGATGCGGATGGGTGCCCATCCATTCCTCCCGATGACGGTGTATGTCTGCGACGCACTTCCCGTTCCCAAAGGCACGTTTTTCATCACCACCGGCATCGATTTTGTCCTGTCAACACGCATCGCTTTGTCAAAGGTGCAATGGTACGTCAGGCTGGCAGCAAAGCACCCGCTGGAACAACACATCAAAGTCAACATCATGAGCAGCAATGGCAGCGCTGCAGGGTACGGTGAGGCGAGGAGCCACTGAACCATCGGCGTGACTGTTGGAAAGGTATTTCTTGGCTTGCTGAGGCAACAAAGACTAATTGGTTGAAAAGAGAAATGAAACGCAAACGTCACCACACAAGAAAACAAATGATGGTTAATGAAAATACGCCCATTCAACCACAACACAAGCAGAGATTCAAAACACACACGTGACGGGAAGCCGAGGCGTGGGACGACAGGCGCACACACTCTCATTGCTCCCGTAAAGCAAAACACACACACAGGGAGAGAGAGAGAGAGAGATGTCGCCCACTCAATGCAATAGAAACAGAAACAGTTACGGTGCTCCGCCCATGCAGCCAGGCATGACGGCAGCGGTGCGTGTCGTGCAAAAGAGAGCACCAACGGGCCTGCATGGGTGTGCACGCATATATACAATGGGCACATTATGTGTGTGCTTCGTGGGATGAGGTGAGGGCGAGAGTCCATGCAAGGGGAGACACACACAGAGAGTGAGTGAAAGACGAGTGTGTGTGCGGGCGGTGCACGGCTCTCTCACACTCACTCTCACGCGGCCACCACCGCAGCAGCAGCCGCACACGCAACAAGAAGAAGAGGCAAAAGAGGAGAGGTGGAGTGGGAGACAGCGGTGCTGCCGTCACTGTCGCCAATAGTCGCAGTATCATTTGTTATAGCTGCGGCTTCGAGAGTTGCTGTTTTATTTGTATTTTCTTCTTTATTTTCACCTTGTTGTGCTTCTTTCGTCGCTTCACCATCAGGTGCTTGATCGTGTTTTGGAATGCCTTCTTCATTTCCCTCGTCAGCGTCATTTGTAATGGCACCTTTGGAAGCTGAGGGTGATGTTGAAGTTGATTCGGCGTTAACTTCTGTTGGTTCGTCTGTTTTGGTGACTGTGGTGGGGATGGTTCGTTCTTTTCGTGAGGCACTTCTTGACTCCATGTCGTGTTGAGATGCTTCTACATGTTGCACTGAAGGGTCATCTGCAGAGGAGGGGTTTTCATCTTTTGTTTGTGTTGTTGCTTCTGCTTCTGCCGCTGCCGCTGCTGCAGGTGCTTTTAGTGTTGGTAATTTGAGTCCTTCTTCCTGGGCGGAGCCGTCATCAGAGCTGGACTGTCCTTTCGCTGGTGTTGCATTTAAAGTTCCTGCTGGGTTTCCATTCAGTGTCGTTGTTAATGGTTCCGATGGTGGTGGTACTCCTTCATGCGTCAATGTTAATTGGGATGTTTCTTCGCCTTCAATTGGACCTTTGAGTTCCTCAATTTCTTCGGTTTCCCCTTCTGCATCAACACTTTCCCCTTCTTCTTCCTCTTCCCCTCTCACTGTGATTGCTGGTGATGCTATGATCCCACCATTATCCTGGTTGATGCCATTTCCCGTTTGTGCACCCAAAGACTGCTTACCGTTTTCGGAACCTTCCCTGACTGAATCCTGCGTTACATGTTGTTCAGCGCTAACAATACCAGCAACAAACTCTGAACTGTCAAATTTTTCATCTTTTTTCATTTCGGTACCTTTATCGACATCGGCCTCCGCCATCACCTACCGCCGGCAATACCGCACCACAGCACGCAGAGGGCACACACCAGCAGCACACGGCCAGTCATCATCATCGCCATCACTCCTGTCACTTGCGTGCAGCCTTCAGCACAAACTAACAACACGTCAACAAATAGTGAAAGAAAAAGGTGAGAGAAAAGAGACACAAGTCACTCAACCAACGCACCGTCCCATCCAGCAATGAGAGTCACGCACCACCACAACAACAACAATGAAAGGAGTGCTGATCGATTGCCCCCTTCCTCACACCCTCACAGTCACTATTTACCGTCAGCGTTACTACTCCCTCTTCAGAAAAACTCACCGGCATGCCGCGCTCACCTGCAGCACGCGTAGCCCGTCATCCTCTCCCGCTGCGTCCGCCACCTCCCCCCGCAGTCCAACAGCTCCGTGTCATCCACTTCTTCCATAGCCTACGGCATGCCACCGCCACGCAACACACACACGTGCTCCATGCGCTGCATGTTGTTCTCCTCCTTGTATTTGTGGCGGCACCGCAAAGTCTTGCAGCCGGCGGCATCGCAGTGCTGGAAGAAGTACGGCGCAGCAACCGTGCGGGTGTCCGTGTGTCTGTACTCGCGCTTCAACTCGTCCAGCAAGAACGGGCTCGGCGGCAGCTATTCCAGCGGGTTCATTTTCTTCCTCCCCCGTAAAACCACGGACGCCTCACGGGGCCCTCCAACGGCGTCACGCCATGTCCCAGGAGGTCATGCGCACCGCCCTCTCATTGCTCCCCTTTCGTAGCCGCAGAAGAACGCAGCACCCACATGCAATTGCCGGCAAGTTAGGACCATCCAC